TTTCCCTCCTTGCTGAAGTCAAGCCTCTGTGCTTCAGAATGTGACTCTCAGTGCCATGCTCTCGGGGCAGTGCTCTCGGGGCAGTGCTCCTTGAGCTTCTGACTCGCAGGGCTGTGCTCCCTGAGCTTCTGATTCCCAGGGCTGTGCTCCCTGGGCTTCTGACTCCCAGGGCAGTGCTCCCTGGGCTTCTGACTCCCAGGGCTGTGCTCCCTGACCTTCTGACTCAGGGCTGTGCTCCCTGGGCTTCTGACTCTCAGGGCTGTGCTCCCTGAGCTTCTGACTCCCAGGGCTGTGCTGTGCTCCCTGAGCTTCTGACTCTCAGGGCTGTGCTCCCTGAGCTTCTGACTCCCAGGGCTGTGCTGTGCTCCCTGGGCTTCTGACTCTCAGGGCTGTGCTCCCTGGGCTTCTGACTCCCAGGGCTGTGCTGTGCTCCCTGAGCTTCTGACTCCCAGGGCTGTGCTCCCTGAGCTTCTGACTCCCAGGACTGTGTTCCCTGACCTTCTGACTCCCGGGGCTGTGTTCCCTGGGCTTCTGACTCCCAGGGCTGTGCTCCCTGGGCTTCTGACTCTCGGGGCTGTGCTCCCTGAGCTTCTGATTCCCGGGGCTGTGCTCCCTGGGCTTCTGACTCCCAGGGCTGTGCTCCCTGGGCTTCTGACTCAGGGCTGTGCTCCCTGAGCTTCTGACTCCCAGGGCTGTGCTCCCTGGGCTTCTGACTCCCAGGGCTGTGCTCCCTGGGCTTCTGACTCCAAGGGCTGTGCTCCCTGAGCTTCTGACTCTCAGGGCAGTGCTCCCTGGGCTTCTGACTCCCAGGGCTGTGCTCCCTGGGCTTCTGACTCAGGGCTGTGCTCCCTGACCTTCTGACTCCCAGGGCTGTGCTCCCTGAGCTTCTGACTCCCAGGGCTGTGCTCCCTGAGCTTCTGACTCTCAGGGCTGTGCTCCCTGAGCTTCTGACTCTCAGGGCTGTGCTCCCTGAGCTTCTGACTCTCAGGGCTGTGCTCCCTGGGCTTCTGACTCACAGGGCTGTGCTCCCTGGGCTTCTGACTCTCAGGGCTGTGCTCCCTGAGCTTCTGACTCCCAGGGCAGTGCTCCCTGGGCTTCTGACTCCCAGGGCTGTGCTCCCTGGGCTTCTGACTCCCAGGGCTGTGCTCCCTGGGCTTCTGACTCTCAGGGCTGTGCTCCCTGGGCTTCTGACTCCCAGGGCTGTGCTCCCTGAGATTCTGACTCCCGGGGCTGTGCTCCCTGGGCTTCTGACTCTCGGGGCTGTGCTCCCTGAGCTTTTGACTCTCAGGGCTGTGCTCCCTGAGCTTCTGACTCCCAGGGCAGTGCTCCCTGGGCTTCTGACTCCCAGGGCAGTGCTCCCTGGGCTTCTGACTC